GGAACTGAGTAGTTCAAGTGCACTTTACACATATTTTATTTTCAATTTGAAGAGACAAGGAAAAAGGAGAAATAAAATTGGTTCTAATCAAAAACGATTCAGCAACTTGTGTAATGGAACTAGAGTAATATAACACTCGCAATGGAGTTACGGTTGTTGGGGCGCAACGGGATTTTGGGCGAGGCTTAATTTATATCATTTTCAATAATTGGCTACATGGGCTTTACGTTTACGATTCAATTTTAATAAAAAAAAATTAAAAAATTTAAAAAAAAATGGGAGGAAAAAATCTGGCGCTGGAATTCGAACCCCGGGAGTTGCAGTTTTCCGGGTGCGAAGAGCTACAGGGCGAGTTTTAATTTATATACTTTTAAATAATTACTATTCGGCTCACAGGGACATGTAGGCTTTACTTTTTAGTTTATAGCTTAATAATGCAGAAAAAAAAAATAGAGTCTGGCACCGGGATCCGAATCTCTGGAGTTACGGCTGTCTAGAAGTGAAGAGGTTGAGGTGACTTTTAATTTATATGTTTTTAAGTAGTTATTATTCGGGTCACGAGGACATACGTGCTTCATGTTTACGCTTCATTTCAGTAAGAAAAAGAAAAAAAAGGAAAAAAAAATTGGGAGGTAAAAGTTTGGCCCCGGGAATCGAATCCCGGAAGTTGCATTCTATTTGAACAGAAGTGAAAGGTAGAAATCTCGTTCAATAGCTTTAAGTTAGAGTTCTGTTTGAGGAAAAGGAAAGAAGTGGTTCGAGTGTATCGTATATTTATTTTATTTTGTATTCGAAGAGTCTAGAAAGAAAGGAGATATCTCGTCGATTACATTTCAGTTACAGTTCAGTTTGGAAAAAAGGAAGTAAATATTTCAGATGTACTTCAGATTTATTTTACGTTCGATTTAAAGATAGAAGAAAAGAGGAAAAATATAGTTGATTCGGTCCGTTTGACGCTAACTTGCATGAACTGAATGGAGTATCGTGTCCGTCTGAAATACCGACTTAGAAAAAATCATTGATTTTCTAGCGTCCTCTACGCTTAAACAACGGTGAATTAGAGAACTATATCAAACAAAATGATACAAATTGGTTCAAGAAAATATCCTTTACAGTGTTGTCAATTCTGCTAATCTTTAGCATAGACGAGGAGGAATACATATACCTCGTCTATGCCACTAAATTTCGATACAAGAAATCAGTATCTAAAACGTTTTATATTATAGCTCTATCTGTGTTTCAATATCAATATACATTTCATGTATATAATTATAAGTATAATTTGTACTTCAGTGTTTCTAAAAATGATTTTTAAAATGGTTTTTATTTTGATTGGTGATTGACTACGGTATATTTATTTAGTTTTAAATGGCCACCGATCGAAATAAAATTTGAAGGGCATGAGATGTGAAACAAAGATACAAAATCTTGACTTCGAGAATTCTCTGTCTAAGGTAGATCAATTCAATTTTACGAAATCTGTTATATAAAACATGAACAAGCAATTAGCAGCTAACGTTAGATTTACAGCAAATCATTGCAACAGCGATTCTTTTGAAAGAATAGAGATATAATATTCTCTTATCCTTTTTTTATTATGAAACAAAAGATCTTTGCGTCTCTATTCTTTCATCACCGCTCAGATCCTTCGTAACTGCATCGGGCTTACTTCGAACGTCTGCAGTAAACAAAAGCACACACAAATGCAACTTTTAAGCCAAATATATCCATATATACGTATAAACATCCATCTCCGGCCAATAGCATATTCCGATCGGGAACATTGTCACCATGTAATTCTTAAATAATTTTTATATCACTTTCTGTCTTTCGTTATCTTTTATACGTTAGATATCACAAAATTATCTTCCAAACAGTTAAATTTTCGAATTCAATAAACATGTCGGAGGAGGAGAGCGAATCAATTGGAATAAACCTTATTTTGTACTGAGAGTTAATTAATTGGACTGTAATTCCGTCCCGGAGACGAATTGCGTGACATTTAAAAAGACTATAGAGAAACGGTCAGGACCTCAAATATATAATTTTAGCTTCGGCTAGTTTTTAAAATATTAGAGAATTAAAAAATTAAATGCTGCGTATTATAATATTATAAACATTACTAATGTATAGACTAATGTAATGTT